CTTCTGTCACATTAACAAATTATTAGGCCCTAAACATAAATAATTTACACATGACAATCTAATCTAATCTAAATGTAGCTAAGTGGAGTGCTGCTTAGTCTCTACTGAGTTAATGAGAGTTTGGCCTTGTCAGTTGTCACTTTGTTGTTAATGCACTCAGTGAAGGTGGCTCTAATACAGAATAATTGTTGGGAAATTTGATTTCAAGCTCTGTGATTGTGTGTGTGTGTGTGTGTGTGTGTGTGTGCAGGTGCCTGGATAAAGAGCAGCTGGGGTCATGTGCAGAGGGAGGGGAACCAGCTCAGTCTGACCTACATTGCTCCTCAGCTTGGATATTGGGTGGCCGCCATGTCTCCACTACACTCAGGTGAGACTCTACTTACATTATAGATAAAGTCATAATTGTAACAAGTACTAAAAGAAAAATGTGAGTGAAACCTGTTTCAGCTCATCTTTTACATCTTTTTTTTTTTACAGAATTTGCAGTTTCTCTCTTCCTCACTTCTTGTCTTTCCAACAGGTCCAGTGTTTGCGAAGGACATCAGCACGTACCACACCGTGTTTCTGCTGGCTATACTGGGAGGAATGGCCCTCATCCTGCTCTGCCTGCTCTGCCTCCTGTTGTACTACTGCAGGTGTGTCAAACACTTTCCACAATGTGTCCATTAAAACGGTCAGAAGGAAACAGAGGAAATATTTTAACCGTCAAGAATATACAATCATATGAATTATATGTCATACATGTGAATGTACAGTAGCTGACTATTTTAGGGTTTATATTTTGTCTTCTTGTCCAGTATACTTCAGCAACAGCATGGGTTATAACATTAGTACCAGTATCTAAGTTTGTTTTGAATCCCTTCAGTGTCCAATGTCGTGTCTGAAAACAATCTGTCCTATTGTCAGCTGAATAAACACGTTTATCTAATTTGGATATTGGTGTCAAATGAACACAATGAGCAGCTTTAAAGGGTTCACTGTCTTCTTTTACATCATCCTCTGTATTCATTCATTCTTCAGTAGTGAGGTCAGTATCAAAGAAATCAAAATTCACATGAAATAAGCAGTCTTTGTTTACAGCACAATATGTGTAGTGAAATTTAGATAAATTTAAATACATTTAAATAAATGTAAACAAGGAGACTCCTACTGCACAAGTATTAGTGCTCTTCTGCTGTTCCTGTTTTTATCACAATAATTGTGATGGGAAAAAAGCATTTAAAGTCAAATTATTCCTCTGATTTCATCATAATCTTATGTGTCTCTGTGTTGTGCAGGCGTCGTTGTTTGAAGCCTCGAGTGTCTCACCGCAAGCTCACACTCTCCTCTGGTCTGGACAGCAGTAAGAGGGACCAAGCCACCTCCATGTCCCACCTGAACCTCATCCGCAACGAGGTTTGTCTGATTTACAGAGAATCTCTACAATGTCTACAATGCACTGTCTGAGGGAATATCAAACAGAGGAAGCACTTAATTAAAACCTGGCCATTTGGTTCAAGCTCCCAGTGTCAGGGACAAATCTGCCTCAGACCCCTCAGGTCCTTAAGTATGAAATTAAACCCCTTCAACTTCCACAGAGTTGCTGTACTGTAGCTGAAACCTTCATCTAACATCTCTGTGCTGGGCAGAAAAATGAATTATTTGATAAATATTATGTTTTGCTTGGTTTGTGTTTTTGTTATATCCTGATAATATTCAGTTTCTTACACTTACAATATTTTGTTGTCTTTTGGTGCAGCTGGAACTTGTTTCCACAGCGACTGAGCCCGACATGACCACGCCAATGCTGAAGCCTTTCTCATACGAGCGCAATCAAGACAATCAACGTCAACACAACATAATCCATCACAGCAAACACAGCCGCTCGTCTCTCGGCAACAACAGCCACCACGGCTCATCTCTTGGCAATCTTACGCCTCGCAGCAGAGACTACCGGCAGTCTGTGGAGACGTTCCAGTTAAAGGCGGCCCTTTCAGCCGGAACAGACAGGGGCTACCGTCAATCATACACCTCCGTCTGCTCATCCAGCAACCTGATTTCAGATGCACTGTCGTCAGCCAATCACGGTCAGGCGTCGGCTAACCAGCTGAGCAGCGTTGGTATTGTTGACTGCGTCTCACCTTCCTCTCCTCCTCACTCCCCCAGCCGAGGGGAGGGGTGTGAGTGCAGAGCTACGGACTACCTTCTGTCCCGCTCTGTGGACCACCTGGAGCGTCCCAGTCTCCCGTCGCTTACTCGACCCGGTCAGCTGCTCTGCTGCGGCTCTGTGGACCTCCTGAGTGGAGGAGAAGGCTACCCGAGGGTGCGTCCCACTCTGGTGATCCCAGCACACTACATGCGCCTCCCTGGGGAGCACCCTCTGTCTGGTCAGGCCCTCCTGCTGCAGACTGACCAGCAGAGTGACCTGGAGACCATCCAGGCCGAGCTCAATGCCTCACATTCCCAACAGCCACTGGGGCAAACCCCCACCGACTGCACCCCGGGTCCCACCAAGCAGGGTGACGGAGAGCATCGAGGCCTGTCGGAGTCTTTGTCTATCCCAGCAGCGCTTGGGGAAACGGGTCTAGTGGAAATAAACAGTGAGGACACCTTGTTGGCTGAAAAGACTTTAATGGAGCTACGAGGAGGGAAGCCTCTTCCTCACCCACGAGCCTGGTTTGTCTCACTTGATGGACGCTCCAACGCTCATATTCGCCACTCCTACATTGACCTCCAGCGGGCGGGGTGCCACGGCAACTCGCCAAGTGGAGGAGGTCAACCAGGTAATAGCAGCGGTGGGAGGCGCGGCAACGGCAACGATGCCAGTCTGGACTCTGGCGTGGACCTGAACGAGCCGAGAGCCGCCCGCAGGGGGAGAGACGGAGAGCGGGAGGAGAGGGAGATTGAGAAAGACAGGTCGAAGGGCACAGCACCTGCCATGGCCTACACTCAGCTGGTGTATGTGGATGATCTGGATGGAGGAGGCAGCGAGGAGGAGACGTCCAAGAGCAGCCCACAGGACAGTAAAACAGGATCCATCCTGTCAGACAAAGCGGAGGGGCAGAGCGGGGATCAGGGGCAGGAGGCTGTGGAGGGGAAAAGAGTGGGAGGGGTACAAATACAAGAGGAACCACCCTCACTTTCCTCGTCATCCCCTGCTTCTCCTCCTCCCCTGCCAACACCAGAAGAAGAGACTTTCAGGACTGATCATGCGCTGCTGTCAGTCTCCCCTGTCGACGATGCAGCACACGAGGATGGAGAGGAGGAGAAGAAGAGTCCCTGGCAGAGGAGAGAGGAGCGACCTCTGCTGGCCTTCAACCTTAAATGATCAGACCACTTAAAGGACAGGCTCACATTTTCTCATCATAGAATATGTCCATATGTACATTAAAAGCGTTGTAATTGTTCCTCTTGAACATACTGGCTTTTCTTAAAGCGATTTCAATACAAGTGACGGGTCCTCGTTCTGTGCAAAAATGAACTCTGAAGTTCAGCTGAAGGGAGAGATGTGAAGCAAAGATACTGTGGGAGGTAAATTGCCACAATTTGAGTCAAAATCATACTAACAGGCACATATTACATATATTTTTAGATTCACTGTCACCTACACTTCCTGATATCATTATCTCCAATGAATAAACGTTTCTGGTGATGTCCTGTATAAGGTTAACGCAGGTTAGATACTGTGTATTTTCCTGTACTGATATAGCACGGTGCTTCATTTGAGTTGCATAAATGAGGAACTATAAACCAAATCTACACACATTACATGTATGAGAGCACAAAGAGGGAGTTTTATACTAAAAAGAGTATAACTTGAGACACATATTAACTTCAGCTGAACTTTATTAAAACATTTCTACACAGAACGAGGCTTCTGGATTTTCCCCTCCGTCTCTTACACTGAAATCACTTGAGGAGGGAACTCTTTGCTGCTGGTAAAGACAGGAAGAATAATTTTGGTGGCCAAAACCGTTTCATTGTACACACGGACATGTCAGTTTTGTTTTGAGATAGACTTGGAAAATGTGAGCTTATCCTTTAACGACGACTCCCCCTCTGCGCAGACCTTAACGTGAAGTATAAGACCATTTAAAATGAAGCCCTTGTTTTTCTTAACATAGCACTGAGAAAATATTTCAGCACTGGGATCCCGTCTAGTCCCGAACATGAAGGGATGATTCAGATCCTTCATGAACTTCCAGGTCCCCTTTATGAAATGACCACTGTTGTCCTCCACTTTGTCATCCTCTCCACAGCCCACGTAAACAGACCACTCATCGGGCGCGACGTACACATGGCCTGAGGGAGACAAATGGACTTTGGAGGCAAGAAATTAGAATATTTTATGCACAACAAATATATGCCTTTTTTTTTTTATAAATAGCCTTGTAAGCATAAAGGAACTGTAGTAGAAACAGATGTTGGGTGGTTCTCACAAATGAAAGACTACAGGAGCCTTTTTTCTCGAGCCATATTGGCCCTCGGTCCACTAACTAAAGACCCGGCGACATTAAGACCCTAATTTAGCAATTCTGACAGATTTTTCAGATTGTGGAGCATCTGTGCAAAATACGTTCAGTGATTCTACTCTTTTCACAGTGCGTTAGGGGTGATTCTGGTGCAGAAATGCGCTAATACGACTTTTAATTTCCTCACAAACATGTAAATCCTGTACTTTGAATGGTTTTTAGAGTATGTTGCCAGAATTTAATCTGGCCCGTCGGAAGGCTGTATGGGTGTTTTTACATGATCTACGCAGGGGAGGAAGTTTTTGGACTGAAGAAGTTAAACCACTATCCGCACTGCAACATAATCAGATAATGTGACACACCACTATGCTGGTGGTTAAGAATATAATACCACTACGAAACTGTAGTTCCACCCAAAAATAATTGTGAGGTGTGATATATATATGAAGGGTTTTGTAATTGTTGAACCACTGACTGGCATATTTTTTGCTCTGAAGGCTATGCATCACTTTTATACGGCTGCTTGAGATGCCTTTTTTTGTAATTTTAATCACTCCGATTTTAATTGCCAACATGAAGTATTTTACCCAAAAATAGGCTATTTTATTTCTTCAAATATGTTAAGGGCTTTTCTTTTTCACCCGCCTTATTGTTAGAGCTACAAAAACAAATTCATACTGCAGACGTTTTACCTGAAGCCAAACTATCTTTGCATGCTGTGTTTCACCTTTATTTTAATTTTATTTTTTTTACCACTTCCTCATGTTCCAAGTGCCTTTGAACAACCTGACTCTACAACAGATTTGTGGAACAGATTACCTTATTTATTTCTCACCTTCTTTTGCCTTCAGCCTTTCTCCTCTACCTCAGCCCTCTCTTTCTCTCCCACCTGTGACAGAAAGCATGCAGTAAACTTTCCTCAGCACTAGCGTGTTACAAGCTACACTGCAGACATCTCAGAAAATGTATACCAGCTGCTGCAATCGTAAAAAAAATCCTCTACAGTAATCAGCAAGACACCAATCACTCTTAGCATTTAAGGATTTACAGACGTTTTCAGTGCAGCATGGGATAGATAAAGCTAAGTGCGATTGTATGTGAAGCTAAACTGCAGGTCATTTCAGTTCGTTTTCTTATTTTTGTGTTTTCAGAGGGTGAATGTTTGTCTCGAATGTGTTCGTGTGCACCTTGGGTGGTGGTAGTGTTTATCTGCTGCTGGCTGTGAGTTTGTGTTGTCACACTGTGTGTTCGTGCGAGAGCGCTGAGAAATAATCAACATACATTCATTCGAGGTTCATATAGTCATAGCAATCATATTACAGAGTGTGTATATTTCTTTCCTGTCCTCTACCTGGTCAAAATGATGTGTGAGTTGGTGTTGTGAATGGCCTCTTCTCTCTTAGTATCCCACAGCAACCTCCAGTTCTAGCGTGGAGTTGCAATACAGCACCCTGAGTGTGTAACTTGGTTGCTTGCATTATATTTGAAGCCTATTATTCTGAATAAACAGCCAAACTGGATTGATTTGTGTGTGTGTGTCTGTGTATTGAACAAATATTAAAGAACTATGCTCTCAGTATGTTCACATTCAACCCCCTTTTGTTAAGATTGTATTTCTTTAGGAACCAGGTTGTTATGATTGAATGCTGCAATATCAAACTTCTTTAAGAAAATACATTAATGTGCCACAGTCTTTATAAAGCATATTACAAATAGTGTTATTAAAAGGAAAAGTACTATTTGAACACTCAAACTCTGTTTATTTTTTGTTTTTTGTTATAGTTAGATAGCACAAAAGTTGTATGTAAATTAGATTCTTGAATTATTTTCTCCCTCTGTCATGGTTTTGTCATTATTATAATGTGTATGTTATACTTCATACAAGGTAACCACGGTCTTACAAATTGGCCTTAAAAATAACATATTTTAGAAAATGTAAAATAAATATACAACATATAGAATATCTTTTAACAAGGTTGGATTACTAACTGTCCTGGGGCAATGGAGGACCCCAAAATCCCAGATTCACTATGTGTCAGTTGTTTGTAATTTAATTAATTTAAATTAATGCACGATTAAAGTAGTTTAAATACCTGTATTCAGTGGTGTAGTGCAGAGTATACACACTTATTTTATAGTCCACATTTGGGTATACCCACTTCTATATCCCCTCTTATGTGTGTGACACAGTTGTCCAATTTTTATGAGTGGGTGGAGTAAAGAATAAATAAAAATGTTTTGTGTAGTTGTCTCACCTCATATTCTGTAGGCCAGTATTGATTGTAAATATTATGACACATAACTAATGATCCTGAACACAAGCAGCAAAAGTTAAGTGACAATGGCCCATTTTAGGTGAGCTAAATAGGCAAGAGTAGGGAGTTTATCCTTTGGTGGACGGGCCATTAAAATACAAAATTGGGGGCCATAAATTAAAGAGTGTACCCACCTTCACACCACTACCAATATAGTTTAAACTGTGTAATAATATTACCACACACTGACACATGGAGAACCTGGATACAGTCAGTGGAGAGAGCTGTCTGTCTCAAAAGAAAGCAGTTTAATTCGAGGCTGTATTTCATGTTAAAAGGAGAGTTCAGCTCTGTTCTCCCTCCATCGGCCTCTAGGCGGTGCGGTTTCCTTCGGCAGTTTCTTTGTTTTTTCCATCTCTCGCCCGCTGCCCGTGATCTCTATCATACGGCGGCTGGCGATTTTTAAACAACATTTTTTTTAATGATGGCGGAGGACAGTGAATCCGCGGCCAGTCAGCAGAGCCTGGAGCTGGACGACCAGGACACCTGCGGCATCGACGGAGACAACGAAGAGGAGAATGAGCATATGCAAGGGTGAGGATGGCCTGGTCCAGTCCGGCTGGGAAACGCAGTAACAGGCAGCCTGTGTGTGTGTGTGTGTCAGTTAGCTCACCGTTAGCCGACACAAACAGAGCCAGGCTGTTTGCTACAAGGCCTGTCATTTCGTGCTAGTAACCACAGGAGAAGTGCTGATTTGAAACATTTTTATTTTTATTTTATGCCGTTTTATTTGGTGTTATTTTAACCGTGCCTTGCCTTCACGTAATTAACGTGTCACTCCCAGCTAGCGTCCCGACTGAATGACACGACGATGACAGCCAACCGTTCAGACAAACCGTTACTTAGCTAACGGTCGGTTAGCTCAGCTGTCAGTCGTTGCTATGGTAGCTAACATTAGCTCTCTGCTGCTGCACCAGTGCCATTTAACTCTGTGTGTGTGTGTGTGTGTGTGTGTGTGTGTGTGTGTGTGTCGAGAGAGAGTGTAAAATGTGAGACAAACAAAGTCAGCCCCTGTTCAATGGTGTGCGTTTGTGTTCATATGTGTAGGAGTCCAGGGGGGGATCTGGGGGCCAAGAGGAAGAAGAAGAAGCAGAAGAGGAAGAAAGAGAAGCCGAGCTCGGGGGGAGCCAAGTCCGACTCTGCCTCTGACTCTCAGGAGATCAAGGTGCGATGGGGATCCACTGAAATGTGCACAGACCCCCCCTTCATGACAGGGGCTAAAATCTCAATCTGTAAACCGACTAACCTACTGATGTTGGATCTTTAGCACAGTAGCAACAACACAAAAGATTCAGTGTAAATGGGCCAGTAAGGGTTATTCAACCTGGACCAGGGTAACCACATCCAACATTTAAATCTCTAACAGAAGGTGAAATAATTTTAATTGCATTAGAGAGCATCATACAAAATGCTGCCGTCCTTCTGAAAACATCCACATCTGAGTTAAAATGTACAGCCGCATGGTGCTTCGGTCAGACACAGAGCGAAACTGCCAATGGATGTGAAAGAGGCAATGTGGGATGAAGATGAGAGGGCACTTAAACTCTCTGGCTCACTTATTGCTTCTGTGCCATTGGTTAAGACTGCTGATCCCTGGCCTAGTCTTTCCTCATGGCCTATAATAACCCTTAAGTTATGCTTAATTATGATGCTAGTGGCTTCTAGTCAATGAAACCTTGAAACTCTGCGCACGTTGTCATGGACATGACTCTCCCAGTTATGTTTTTGCCCATGTACACATCAGAATCACTTTTATTGGCAAGGTATGCCAACATACACTTACAAAGTATCTGACTCACGTTGCTCACAATTTACAATAATATCCCAGCTTTAGAAACCAGTATTCTGATTTTGAGATGCTACCTAGAGACTCTGATACACCTTATATTCCTTATCCAGGTATTTGATCACTGTTTGTTATGTGGGCAGGTGCTTCCTCAGCTTTACAGAGTTATGTTAGTAGCTAGAAGATGCATTTAAATTGTTGCAAATACAAAAAACCAAAGTCCTCTACTATCAGAAACTGGAAATGTCTAGGATTATGTATGTGTCGTATCCCGAGAATGACCGAAACCAGGATGAGACTCACGGGGATACTAGTGTGTAGTGCTGCGCAGTATCAACAACATTTTGAATCACTGCATTTTTTAAGATTCTGGGGGTTTCACTGTATATCGCAGTATAATTTATTTCCCATGACTGGGTCTTCATACAGGTTTGTAATGGCTTATTCTGTCAGTGGTACATAGAACATAAAAAGATATTTTAATCATCAACTATGGGGTTTCTTGGCCATTTTACAATATATAAAGAATTTAAACAGTTTTCAGTCTCCAAACTGGTAAAAATAAAACATATATACTAACAACTTTAACTTTAACATTGCTGCTGCTTGCTACAGTTTGGCCACAATTTGTGTTACAAATTATGTGCCATGGTGTTTTGTCCTGTTAAAGAGAGTTAGTTGTGGGTTTTTAACTGTTGTGTTATGAAGTTATAACCGTACACTCTACACAGGATGCCCCGCCCGCGTTATTCATTCCAGACAATATGATATATTTTGCTGCCATATCGCTGCATCTCATGTCACACATGCAGAAAGAGGTTAATTCATAAGGTTGTAACGAAAGACTGAACTCACGGTTTGATACAGTTCACAATACTGGGTTGACGATACAAATTTCTCACAGTTTCTTTAACAAAATGAGGAATTAAAGACAAATTTTTACTGTAAAAGATTCCTTTTTTTTTCTCAGACAAAAATCTTTTGTTATATTTTCTTCATCAAATAATAGGATCATCTTTTATTTCTGAAGAACTGCAGAACAGTGTATTTCCTGCTCTTTGTAAAAGTGAAACAGAAGTCTTTGTGCCTCGAGACCACGATTTATATTACGATTTTCATCCCACCGATTTGAATCTTACACATATTTAACCTTCTTGCGATACATCTTTACACTTCTATTCATTCACGCTGTCTCCGTACTAAAGGCCCACTGTCATTGTTCTTATGTCTGTGCACATCCCTTCTCTTCGTGTAGAATCCTGGCCTGCCCATTCAGAAGCTGCAGGACATCCAAAGAGCCATGGAGCTTCTGTCCTGCCAGGGTCCAGCGAAGAGCATCGATGAGGCAACCAAGCACAAGTACCAATTCTGGGACACCCAGCCTGTGCCGAAGCTAAGTAAGTACCTACTTAACTGAGAGCAAGCAAGGGCATTGTTTATTTAATTCCTATCTAATTTATTTGAATTGTGCTCCATTTCATGTTTACGTAAAGCTCTTATTGAGGAAATGCTTGTTATAGTACCTCATAAGCACTTAATGATCGAGTTAGAATTAATCGTTAGCTTAGCCAGTTGATGATGATGATGATGATGGAAATTGCTTAAACAGTGATACTTAAGCCGTCAGCAGAAGCTCGATCATCCTCCTCAGATCAGCGCCGTTTCTGTGCACCAGTGCCACCTACTGGGTTTGTTTCGTCACAGCCTGTGCTGCTCGAAGCCAAGTGTCCCAAAAAACGTGTCAGCTGTGAAGTTCAGTGGGGGTCCAGGCATACTCACTTGGCATGCTTTGTGGCATTAGATTAAGCCGTTTCCATGACAACTATTGGCCAAAGATCAGGTCGGCGCAGGAGGGCTCGTGCCATGTGCTTGCCTGGTCGACATGGGACCGACAGAAGCAGAGAAGTATAGCTGTCAGCAGTTTGGTGTTTGCTCAGGATCAGTGTCACCTGAAGAAAGTGCAAAAACAGGAGACGTATAGGTCCATTGGATATGCAGTGATTGTTTTTATCTCTGTCTGTCTTTGACAAGAGCTGTGCTATTTTTGCAGATGAGGTGGTGACGAGTCATGGGCCGATAGAAGCAGACAAAGAAAACATTAGACAGGAGCCATATTCCTTACCTCAAGGCTTTATGTGGGACACTCTGGATCTCAGCAATGCTGATGTAGTAAGTACGGTGTTAGTCTTAGACACTATACATTCATTAGGGCTGCAGCTTACAGTTATTTTTGTAATCAATCTGCTTCTGATTATTTTCTTGATTTACTTACAAGTTCTTTAATCCATAAAACATCAGGAAACAGTAACTAAAATGCCCTTCAAAGTATTGTAGTGGTGAAATCATCAAATGTCTTGTTTTGTCCAAAAGAATATAATAAAAATTTGATCTCATTTAATGTAAAACCAAGTAGGGAATTTTCACATTTAAGATCCTAGACTGAATTTTAAAGTCTAATCGTTAAATGCTTAAAAATACTTTTCGACGAATTCAATCACATCAGCTCTATAATACACAAAATAAATTGTTTGCTGTGTCTTTTTCAGCTGAAGGAGTTGTACACGTTGTTAAATGAGAATTATGTGGAGGATGACGACAACATGTTCAGATTTGATTATTCACCAAACTTTCTCAAATGGTAAGCTTTCAGTTCTGATGTTGTTCTTGTTTATTACTTTGCTGATTGTTTAATTAATGTATATACAGTATTCAACTGCCTGCTCTTCCTCCTCCACTCTCAGGGCTCTGCGTCCACCTGGCTGGTTACCACAGTGGCATTGTGGCGTGAGAGTGTCTTCAAATAAGAAGCTTGTGGGCTTCATCAGTGCCATCCCCGCAGATATACGCATCTACGACACGTAAGCACTCATAACGGCTCCTATGCGTTTGGCACAGAGCAGTAAGAGTCAGTAGAAACCCTTTTACTGTAATGCACAAGTCATCTTCTTTCCCTCTGCTGCTCCAGACTGAAGAGGATGGTTGAAATCAACTTCCTGTGCGTCCATAAGAAGCTGCGTTCAAAGCGCGTCGCTCCAGTGCTAATCAGAGAGATCACACGGAGGGTGAACATAGAAGGAATATTTCAGGCAGTATACACAGCAGGAGTGGTACTGCCTAAACCTGTGTCCACATGCAGGTATGCCGTGCAGTATTTAAACGTACTGAAAGACGTAGAACATTGTGTCAGAAAGTAATTTAAAACCAACACCGCTTAACTCTTTCTCTCTGTTTCTTTTTTCCCTCTTTCCTCCGTCTCCGTCAGGTATTGGCATCGTTCTCTGAATCCCAGAAAGCTCGTGGAAGTTAAATTCTCCCACCTGAGCAGAAACATGACTCTGCAAAGAACCATGAAACTCTACAGACTACCAGATGTAAACACTTCCACCTGTCAGTCCTGGATCTCTCTTTATCATTCTTATCAATGGCGGGGAATTATATAGACTTTTTTTCTCTTGCGTTCTACACCCGATATAGAGCACCAAGACCCCAGGTCTGCGGCCGATGGAGAGGCGTGACATACGCCAGGTCACCGAGCTGCTACAGAAATACCTGAGACGTTTCCAACTTGCACCTTCTATGGGAGAAGAGGAGGTGGCTCACTGGTTCTTTCCACAGGACAACATAATTGACACATATGTAGTAGAGGTATCTGGAATCAGTTTTCCTCCTCAAAATACCGACTGCCTGTCTGTTGGTTCTTCTGACAGTCGTGTTTCTCTCTCCTCAGGGTGCTGGTGGTGTACTGACAGATTTTGCTAGTTTCTACACTCTGCCCTCAACCGTGATGCACCACCCTCTCCATAGGAGCCTGAAGGCTGCTTACTCTTTTTACAACGTTCATACACAAACCCCACTACTGGACTTAATGAATGATGCACTGATCCTGGCCAAACTGGTAAAGTTACCCTCTGTGTAGAGTTAAATGCTGCTATCAAATAATTAAACTGTTGTTAACTTTAAGTTCAGGAAAAAGGGAAGAAGGCTTCCAGATAAATAACGTATTCTTAAATGTTTTTTTTTTAACCTCAAACTAACCGTTTTATTGATTCTCTTGCTGCTGTGTAATTCATCATGATTCATAACGACTCAGAATTCATCACATTTAGTTTCTAATTTCTTATTCTGTGTGTTTAACAGAAAGGTTTTGATGTGTTCAATGCCTTGGATCTAATGGAGAATAAGGTGTTCCTGGAGAAGCTCAAGTTTGGCATAGGAGATGGAAATCTGCAGTATTACCTCTACAACTGGAAATGTCCCCCTATGGACCCCGATAAGGTCAGCAGCAGGATTTGTTGACGGCGTTTGTCAAAGTCTGGTGTTAAGACCCAATAATGAGAGAGGGAGTAGGTCCTAGATTTATTTTGCAGACATTATCGGTTGTGTAAGTTGTCTGCTCTGTTATGTCATTGCTTCTGTAAGTTGCACAAGTGGACTAAAAAGCTGAGATTAGAAGGGGATTTGTAGACGGCCACAAAGGCTCAATTCAATCAGAATCATGCTTTGCAACACTGAAAAAGTAAAGTACTTGAGGGGTAACGATCTCAGCAAAAGTGCATTATTGTATTTTGTGTAAAGTCACTACACTTTAAAGTGTTTTTACAACTACAAGCTGGTTTCAAGTAGCTGTCCAGTCAAAAGCTATTAACTGTGTAAACAGGAAGTTACTTAAGCATCACAAGCTCTAATATAACATTCAAAATAATTATCAAAAATAATATTTTAAGGAGGTCAAATGTCATATTAAACTCAACATTTAGTAAATGTAGGTTTTCTTTATACAAACATACATCTAGAAATCTATGTTGAGAGTGAGTGAGCAATATCAGATTGAGCTAAGCTATCTGACAGTATTTGGTCATTTACTCACAATGTTTTGTTATTTTATGTATCTTGTGTTTTTTGTAATTTGTAATTTAAAGTTTTCCCAGTTTACAACATTGTTAAACAGCATTGTGATCAAGTGTCAGGTCAGATTTGTCAGCAGTATAATCTTTTTTTAGTCTAGAGCAGTCATATATTAGCAAGCAATAATGTTTTGTCATTTACTTACAATAGTTCAGTTACTGTTAGCAGATTGCTGACAGAACGCAGCAGTTAATGGCAGATGGCGTGTAAATATTTAATAACTAATCTATTCAAAGCTTTTAATGTTTGTGTTCTTTTTGTCAAAACTGCTCTAACACCAGGTTACTCTCTCTGTTTTTCAGGTTGGCCTCGTCCTTCAGTAGCAGGTCTCTTCACGGCTGCTGCACAAACACTGATCAAGAGGTCGTCAGTGACCTCTGGCTATTCCTTACCTGGACATACAGGTAGCCCAAGCTAGACAATGAGAACTACAACAGTAAAACCAACCTGGAGACTGGGAGGCGGTTCACCCGTCATCAAGAACATTCTCAGTTCACCTGGAGGTGAAAACTCTTAAAATCATCAACATCCTGAATGTGAAGTCATGCTATGCCTGAGATACTCATACAGTACAATGCTCCTGACATGCACACTCACATCTAAAACAGTCTGACATACAAGAGGATGCCTTGACATTGTGAATTTTGTTTAGTTCTTCTTCCTCAGCAGACACGTCGTTACAAGAGACTGGCATGTCATTTAATTTCCGCTGACATTGAACTATGTAAATGATAATCAACAAGTAAACATGACCACAAAAACAAAAAAAACTGCACACTGGCAGGGTCTTAAAGGCAGCGGAAGAGTTATTATTCCCGTCCCGTCTCCTATCATTGTGGTCAGAAGTTGTTTCTGCTGGCTGTTTTGAGCCTCGGTAGAGTTAGAAATGCTAAGGACGTGTTTCTGTGATAGCTGACGTATAAAGGAAGAAACTTGTTAAAATAACACACAGAAACACAAACACTGTCAAATAACACACACACACACACACACACAAAAAGGATATCTTCATGGAAGGACTCATCCAACTGGTGCATTGATATACATTTTTTTTTTTTTTTTTGTTAAAAATATAGTTACCTGTACATTTAAAGCCAGATAATATTTATTCCTGTACTGTGAGTTTAGGGTTCGGGAGGGCTGATCCAAAGTATTTCCTCATACGTAGTTGTAGATGTCACTGAGTTTGTTCAGACAACGTGGGTTTAAGTGGTTTTTGATGAAGAATGTATTGCATCAATGAAGCACAATTTTTGAGTTCCTAAACAAGCAAAAGGGTCCTTTATTTTTATTTTTTTAAAGGGTCAGATTTCAAAACCGATGGGTTGCGGTACCACCTTGATTTCTACAAAGGATGTGAGCTGTTTTCACTTATAAAGCTGTTTCTAGAGTCGGTATCTTTAACAGAACATCTAAACATGCTGTTTGGTTATATTTACAGTAACAAACACACCTTAGGGTCGTCTGTATTGTGTGTTTATTAATTAAATTAGAGGCAAAAGCTGATAAAACGAAGGATGGCACGCTCAGTGCACATGCAGGGCAGCAGCTGGAAAACAACAAAATACCAATTAAACTTTAGCCACTGTGGATTTAATTGAAATTGTTTGTTTTCGATCTTTTTAAAGCATAAAAAAGGCTTACATACTTTGACAAAGTGAAAGTTCTCAGTTTAAATCAGCCAAGGTTGTTTTTTTCTTTGTTAATTAAAGTCATTGCCACTTAGAGAAAATACCACTTACTAATTTCTGTCGCAGAAACAGTGAATGAGATGCTCATTAAGTAACACTGGACGTTTCTCTCATTAATACACAAGTAACCATCGATTCCCTCACTTGCAGTCGGAAGTTATTTGTGTTCCTAATCAAACGCTCAGCTGAATAAAACATAAAGAATTGAGCACAACATTCACAGTGTCTGCAGAATAATTTAGCATCAGCATGTATTCAGAGTGCAGTGGCTGAATAAGCAAACAGCCTGTATCAGCAACCGCATCTGTTTGAAATTTGAGCTTTTCCTGTTTCTTCAGGTCCATTTTTACTGACTTCTCTGGATTTTTTTTTCTTTTTTCTTAAATGGTACTGTATTTGTGTGTCTGAAAAATATACTGTGGGTCATTTTTTAGTGTGTTGTGCAGCTAAATGCGTGAAAATTCTTTGAACAGTTCTGATATTTATAATTGTACTTTGCAAGATGTCTTAAGACATAATTCCTGTCCTTTTTCTTTCCAGTATTTCCCTAAAAAATTCCAGTTAAATAGGCAACTCCAAAACAGATTCTTAAGGGTTTAAAGTCCCTGTGCTCAGCTGAGCAGGAAGAGGATCTTTGATATTGATGACGATGATGCTGCTGGTGTACTCAAAGGTTAAAAATGTTTGAAATTGTCTTTTTTTTTATTTTGCTCTGAGTTTGTTACTTTATGTTTGATGTTCCTGTTCACGTGGCTCTGCATAACTTAAAGAGGTAGAGACTGCTGCCATTTCTGTCCATTTCTCTGTATGTGATGTAATTTTCCTCTCATCCCTTTATATATTAGCAAGAAAAGAACAACCAACGGACGGTCAGTGCTTCAGGGTTCAAACATTTTTTGTTTTTTTTTGTTACTATTGAAAGGTTGAATGAGTTGCATTCACAAAGACAGACGTTACCGGCATTAATTTAGCACTGAAACTGGGTTATTGAGTCGACGGTGTGCCTCATGGATGTTGGTTGTGTCACAGATGTGTTGCCTGCAGCTGTTTGAATGAACTTTGAGCATGTCAGTTCTGCTGCCGTGTTGATTTTAGCGTTGTTACTTAGCCACACCCTTTAGTGAGAACTCAACCCTAAGTACCTGCCTTATTTAAAAGATGTTTTTTCTTTTTTTAATTAAGATTTGGGGTCGGGGGGGTATACTTTTGAAATGACATACAGCTTTCTCTAACTGAAGAACAATATTTTTATTCAAATCCATTGTAAGCTGTGAAAAAGCTGAAGAACTTGTACCAGCATCATTTAGACATGACCCCATGCAAATAACAATCTGTTTCAACACACACGTCAGCTATACCAGCATGGATATTTGATTGAATAAACTCACTTGAAAAAGGAACATGAGTAATGCAGTTCATTTTAATACAAGGGGCACATTTACAGTATATTACAGTTTTAACTGAGACAGACTGTTAAATTGACTCGTTATAAATCGGTTGGGATGTGAGAATATTAAATAATGTCATATTTTAAGTTGTGAGTGAGTTTAATTCAGAAACAGGAAAAAAAACAACATAGATCTAAATGTTCTTTGTTGTGCCTGTTTCGGGTCAATGAAATCAGTTTAAAGGATCACACCAGGGTCCCAACAAATTTTAACCAAGTTATTATAAATCATGTAAACTGCATGCAGCCACTGGTTTCCATTAATCTCACTGGAGTGCGAGAACAGACTTACTTTCTTTAGAAAAGCAGCACATTCCAACAAATAATGTCTCTTATCTTTGACTAAACTGAATTCATATTTTCTTTCTGTTGTAATTCATTATTGACTCTGAAAGTCAATCACCTACTAACACAGATAAAAAATAAAAGCTGACATGGTGTTAACTGTAGACCTGCAGCTAACAGTTATATTAATAATTGTCCGAGCCTTTAAATTGCTTTTTTTTTTTGTACAAACAACAGTCCAACCTCCCCCCAAAAAAGCTGCAAATCCTCACAAAGGAAAAGTGTTTCAGTTCTAGTTCACTGGAATGAATTACACACAATATTAAACAATTATAAATCAACGGCTGCCCAAAATGTCAGAAAAATGCAATTCACAACTAAAAACTGATATTCTCAGTTGATATGTGGGATAAAGCTTTGGGGGTTGGAGAGTTCCCAGAACAAATCTGAGGCGTCACACAAGTCGATTAATTGGATAAGGAAAAAAAGATGTTCCACAAACCTCATGCCCACACTAGTGCCTCATTTTAGGTGGTCAAAAGCCAAAAAACAAACATTGGAAACCACTGAGCTAGAACAAAAACATAGAAACTGTTGTTTTAATATCTCATTTGACTGGCTCTGCCTTTTTCTGTCTTTTCTTTGCAGAGTTGGCAACTATTTTTTTCACTTTGAGAGGCTGCAGAGTGCAGGAGGAGGCGGACTCTGTGACCTCCTCACGTTCACTCTCAAGCTTCCTTTTCTGGCCCTTCTTCTCGCCAGCCTCCTCTTCCATCTCAGCAGGGTCTTCAGGTGTTACCCTGGGCGCTGCACCTTGTAGCCATGCGACATCCAGTGAAGGCACCCTGGGTGTAATGGCGTCAACGGTGTCCGCGAACACCTCGTCACCTTTGTAGAGACACTGTCTGAATCCCAGAGCGAGGACACTTTTCAGCCCCAGTGGCTCCGACACGCTCTCGCTCAGCCGAGGCACCTGGCAGGCCGGCACGCCTCTGGTGGCGCTCAGGGCTATCAGGTGACTCGTCATGTGTGTGGGCTTGACGGACTTGCACACAAGCAACAGTCTGAGCTCGTTCCTCTCCAGAGCTTTGGTGACCTCGTTGATGCCAATGGCCAGTTGTCTTCTGGCTGCCACATCTGTCCAGCCGTTTCTGGGAGAGTCCTGGCTCACCTGTGGGTCCTGGCTCACCTGTGGGGCGGGTTCTGATGGGGCAGCAGGTTTCTGGTCTTTCTTTTTCCTCCACGGGCGAAACACTTTCACCTCTTTCTTCTCAAGACCCGTGGAAACCAGCTTGTCCTTCAGGGTTTTCAGGATGAAATGCATGTCTTCTTGGGAGAGTGGGTTCCATTTAGGGCTGAAGGGTGAGGTGAAGGAGGTCTTTGCTGGAACATGCCTCTTGAGTTCCTTTTTAGTTCCTGGCTTCCCTGCAGTGGCCATACCTCCTCTGAAATGAAGACAAGAAAACAAGTAGTAAACAAGCAATACATCTACAGTACAACTACAGTGAAGCCCAATCAATAGAACAGAGGTTTGTCCACCAGAAACCAAGTTTAAAACACAGAATAATCTGTATTTGTGTAACTTCTGTATGACTGAATACCTTTTCACAAAGATAAATAACACATTAAAATAATAAATGTAAGATAGGACTAATGCAAAATGGATTTAGTTGCTGTATTTGACGACAAAGAAGCCAAAGTGTATGAATATTTTGTGTTTAGAGGATTTTTGTTAACAAATACTTATCAATATGATCAATATTAGTCCTCAGAAATCCATTATCAGTCTGGCCATAATAACAAGGTTTTGGATGTGATTATTAATTATCAATATGTGTCACTGAGGTATTCACTGTCAATCTCACTGAAATTAACTCGTAATAAAAACTCTGCACATGTTCCTATAACCGCATCAACATTATGACAACAACATACTGGACAAACAACAGTGACATTTAGTTACTTTACCTGATTTTTATTTGCAGCAAAAAGCTTAAAAAAAACTTCAGTCCGACAGCACGGGTGGACCACAGAGCGCCGCCATGTTGTTTGAATTATAATAACTTTATTTAAAAACATCGACAGCGCCGCCCAGCGTCCAAAGAGCAGAACTACAGTCAGAGTTCAATAACACCACAGTGAGTTCATGGGGAGGGTGTGGGACAAATTATACCTATATTAATTAACATATATTAAAACATGTTTAAAACCAGTTGTTAAACCCAATTAATATAATATATAATGTCTTCAGTGGTAGAAGAAGCCGAACAGAACTTTTTTATTAGTAAATTATTACATTTTAAGTCGCTGTATTCATAATTGTAATGCTAGAGCACATAAAAGTAAAGTAGGCAAGATAATAAATGTATATATTAGTTGGATATTACTATTGAGTGGGTAGCTTTTTACTGTTGTGGTTGGTTTTAATAATTAATTATATTAGTATATACATAGTTAATATAATTTTGTTATTGTAAATACTGTTGGGTACTTTATAACAAATATTAAATATATTATTTATACTAAATTAATAATCTGCTAATAAATGATCAATATAGTGCAGTAATAAGCACAATATTTCCATCTATTCCTAAAATTTAAAGTACAGTACCAGTATTTTACATTACTCTACATTATAGTAGTGTGTGTGTGTGTGTGTGTGTGTGTGTGTGTGTGTGTGAGGGTTGCAGGCAGCCAATCAGCTCCTCAGCAGCTCTTTGCTCCCTCCTCTGCGGCTCTTTCCTTGGCTGACAGTATTGCATCGATCAGCTGTGCTGCAATTACAGCTGCGAAGAGCCGCCAAGGAGAAACTATATCCATCCGGACTGCGGGGCTGCATCTGCGAACATGTCTCCTCAGGTAAAATACTCCCTTTGTTTTAACTGTATTCAGCAGGAGGAGGTGTCTGCATCCTCGCTGTATAACGGTGGCAGCGGCGGGGTGTTCACACCATCCACTGTATGTGGTTGTCATCCATCTTTGACAGTGTGGGATGAACACAATACATGTAAGAAATGCGAGTTCAGACATATTGATCATCTGACTCTGTGCTCCCTTACGATGCTGCAACTTAACGTACTGCAGGCACATTGCAGACAAACAAGTAAATATGATTAACTATGAATAATAAACAAGATCTGACTCTTAATTTAATTCATAAGATGAGTAGTTGTGATAAATAGTTCAGATGTAGAGGTTAATCTTTGTAGTATTTCATGAAACATTTGAGTTTTAGGCTAAAGTTTAGGGGGTTTTCAGGTTTTTATCCATCCTAAAAGGGTTTCTTGTGGTCTATAATTATCTGTTCTGTCCCAGATCTTTTGTAAAGTAGATTATTCAAGTAGGCACAAAAGCAGTAGAGTCTTGAATAAAAGCCCATTGTTTGTCTCCAACTTGTGCAACAATAGGTTTCCCGGACTCTGCACCATGACCAGAATACTACGCTCAGATTTCTTATTCAGTGTTGTGTGTGTGTAACTGATTAATATGCACATTCTCATATTCTGTGATTCGAGGGCGGTGGCATGGAGTGGCAGCTGCCTGGCCTGGTGTCAAATGCTGCCATATTTAAAACATTAGCTTAGATACAACTTAAAAATAATGAGTTATAAACAGAAATGAATTTAAAGATCTGTTACAGCCATATTTATAAGGGATTAGACTTCAGACTGAGGCTTATGTTTGTTAAAAAAAGACTTTAAAATAAAACATCTTATTGATTTCTAATGCCCCCTTTAGTTATTTTTATTCAATGCTTTTCTAATGTTCCTCAATAATAATGTTTTTTAGCTAAAATATCTTCAATTGGGGGCTTTTCCAAGCAAATATTGATGTGATTGTCTACGATGAAATCAGCAGATTTATCTGCCACACCTTAAAGTCTCCATGCCTCCCTCTTGAATATGTCCCTGGATCCGATGGGATTCTTCTACACTCCCACTGCACCAAATAGCTTTGACTGACTCGTCTGTCCGACTTGGCAAAGAGCAGAAGAATCTATAGCTAGTGTATGTTTCAAATAATTTATCAGAAATACGAGGAGTGACTTTACCTGTTTCATTTATTACAGGCAGAGTTTGAGAAGATAGCAGAGGATGTGAAGAAGGTGAAGACGAGGCCTACGGACGAGGAGCTGCTAGACCTGTATGGCCTTTATAAGCAGGCGATGGTTGGAGACATTAACACTGGTAGGACTCGCTGCAGAACAACAAAAGCACTTTCATGTAATATTCCCTAAATTCTGAACATGTCCTCCTCTCTGTGTGATTTCACAACTGTAGACAGACCAGGAATGGTGGACTTAAAAGGAAAAGCCAAATGGGATGCCTGGAACTCCAGGAAAGGTAATCAGTTACAAATGCTTGTAGGGCTTTGATACTTGTTATCAGCTCTGATTTATTGATGGATGTCAGCATTATTATCGGTTAGAGATTAACCGAGAGAAACAAGAGTCTGCAGCTAGTGGCTCTGTGAGCTAACATGCTCACGATGACAATGTTAACCTGCTGTTGTTGAGCAGGTACAATGTTTATACCATGTTCACTGTCGTAGTTTAGCATGTTGACATGTTAATTAGCATTAAACACAAAGTACAGCTGGGGATGATGAGGAATCCAGCTAATGATTGGTGAGAAATTTAACCACAAAGAACCACAAATGTCAATCTGCTGCTGAAAGGAAAGTCAGGATCGCTAAAGTCAGTAGGAATCATCCTCAGGGAACCGTGAATGTCTGTAGAGAGTTGAATAGTTGTAGAGATATTTCAGTCTGGACCAAAGTGCTAGACTGAGCAACAGCAACATATACTGTTACTTTGTGTTTTTAATCCTAACACTTTGTATTTACGCACTCTTTTAGGAATGTCCAAGGACGATGCCATGTCAGCCTACATTACACTTGGAAAGGAAATCATCAGCAAATATGGCATGTAAGGGTTGCAATGAACTGAAGAGGCTGAATTAATGCAATAAAACGACAACAGTCGTGACTCAGTTACTAAAACAATGCTGCTGTCTATATAACGAGTAGCCTTCTGCTTCCAGAGGCCATAATTATGCAGGATAATAATGAACATTTCACCTTTTACAGTTAAAATATCACATTTGCTAATTGCCATTTTATCTAGTTCATGTCATTCATTCATAATCCACATATACACAGCAATAAATGTGATATGTAGCTTGAATTTTAATGAAAACCGGACAAACTAAATGTTGTCAAATGTGAACACATTTTGCAAATAAAACCTCTTTCTGAACAGTTTTTTTGTTTTTGTTATTTGACATAAACGTGGTGGAGTAAACAATAGAAACAACTGTCAGTATAATGCAACACAAACTGCAGCCTCTGAAATCACCATTACAACCTTCATCAAAGTAGGATTTATTGCAGGACTGTAGATTTATTTCATAGATAAAAGTATTGTGTGTAGTTTGTGGTTCATTGTCTCTATTGTTGTCTTGGTTGTTACAGCAACCTCTAAATTAATCCACTTCTCACCTCTCTGCAGCACACAAACCTACTTATACAGTCTATGGTACAAACTCACTATCAATGCCTCTTTATGTAGCTGATAAAATGTAGGTCAAGTGTAACGCGCATGCGCAGTACGATCCTCCGAGCTGGCACTGGAACACAGCACATGGGACTGTGGAGTAAGGTGGGGTGAGTTGTTGAATGGACAGGAGGGACAATGTGGTAATTGAGTAATTGGTAAGTGGCCTGAGACAGGATCACTGTGCACTGAATGTTGTGCACAGATCTGGAGAAGATATAGATTAAAGATTAAACTGAGGGAAGGATTCACACCCACTCAGACGGGGTTATGAAATGGACAATCAGGGGCAAGAGGGTGGCAGGAGGGTGCAATGCAACACCTTTTAGATGTCAACCGCCATCAAACTAAACAGAAGAAGGTTCCTGCTCACGTAGGGGTATAATAACAATAATACCCCTACACCCTTAATAATAAGGGTGGATATATTGGCAAAACAATCAATAAAACAACAGCAAATTGACAACCTAAGTAAAGCAGAAGTTAAAACAATCATAAAGGATCATATATGCAAAACCAGCAGGCATACTAGGACTTATATGACACTGGAAGAAATACAGTACAGTAAATTACAATATATAGTGTAGGCATTGGTGGATTACAGAGCAGGAGCCCAAATGAAGAGATAGTAATCACCGGTCTGGATTAAATCATACAGTACATTATAACAGGCAAGCACCCTAGTGGACTATGTACTCATTCTAATAAACCCGACACTGTCAAACATGTATTAACAGACTGCAGACTGACTAATATCAGCATTTGATGAGGGACATAATATTACATTAGAAAATCAACTCGGAAAGAAATCATTGAGAGTACCTAATCGTTTAAGTAATTATTTAGTATATAATAATAACAACATAACAGAAATAATAGAGATTATTTAGTATTTAGTATTAGTTTATTTTTTCCTACCAATCTCCAGTCCAGCAGGTGGCGGTAGTTCACCTACAAGCTGGTTTGTCCGACATTAAAACCCGAAGAAGCGTCAGACTGCACGACACACCCCCTGAGATAACTTCCTGGATGAAAGTATTTGTACTTTTATTCTCACAGAAACAACAAACTAACAAAACTAAGTCATTTTGGTGACTAAACCTAACCATGTAGCTAGTTGTGGTGCGCGTCCCGCAGACAGACCCAGTCGGGAAACAGCACTCTGGTCGATAGAGAGATATTTCTGCTGTGTGTGCATAAAGTTAACGTCAACATATCCTGGAGACGGTGAGCCAACAGAGGCACTGTTCACTGTTTGAATCAAGTTTAAACTATAAACTATTGTCAGGACTATCTAATATAACGTTAGTTTACAGGCAACAGATACAGATAGCAACACAGCCTATGTAATAGCAGTAACTCAGAGGAAGTAGACTGGGTTAAGTATTACTATTGTTTTATTGATCAGTGACTGTGTGCACTGCAGATATCAGCTACAATGGTTGAGATTAGAGCTGCCATTAGGCATTAAGGCGTTATTGTCATTATATAATACAGAACTGCACATTAAAGTACAGTTGTAACACCCTCCCACAATACACCTAAACCCATAGAGGATGATAAACAGGTATTTAAATTATTAAAGAATAAAACAGAACAAAAGGTTGCACTGAATGAAGAAGAAAATTATTATATACACATAACTGAATGTCTGTAAAAGTTACCCCCACTGTAAAATGGTTTTAATGTTTCAACAATTATTCTCTCCCACGGGGGATCAATAAAGGGACACCTTATCTTATCAATTAATCAGCTAGACAATTGACAGAAAATTGATCTACAGCTATTTTGATAAGAAATCGTAATTCTGTGCTGGTTCAGCTTCTCAAATAAAAATGTACTGCTTTTCTTGGTATATATGACAATACATTGTAAAATTATTAATTCCTCACAATTTTCTGACATTTTATTGACCAAACATGTGATATGTAACATATGTAAAGTATGTGGGTTTAAAACATATTAAATGTATTAGGTCCATATTGAAATCTGTAAGAAAGTAGCCACAATAAGACTAAATACACAAGCAAATCTCTTAATACATTGAACAGTTTATTCAGTAATTATTATAGATTTTATTCAAAGGGATATTAGTTTCACTGTTGCTAATAAACTAGACTGGCTGATTATTGGACATTGTATTTAGGACAACACTATTACAGATGTTTGTTTTCTAATTAATCTAATAAAAATACAACTCTGAAAGAGGAATGCTTCAAGATCAACTCCAGATACTGCAAGCTTCATGTGATACAAGTGATACAAGGCAATGTCAGCCTCAGCTTCATGGCAGTGTGACATTTATGTGTATTTCAGGAAGAAGAAATGGCTAATCATGTGTCAGAGTCGTTGCCAGAGCGGACCTTCCAGTACCAAAGCAGCCTGCCGCTCCTGCCTGTCCCATCACTAGAGAATAGCCTTTTAAAGTATCTGAATGCAGGTAAGATAGTAGCTTTGTACAAGCTGCTGAGTTAATCTGTTTCAGGTTTTATAAATGTTTGCCATACACCTTAATATAGTGTTCAAATACTGTAAAAAATAAATAAGGAAAGTTAACATGGCTTAAACTGCTCACTGTCTTCACTGTCACAATCTGTCTTTAAGTAAATATTTCTGCTTCTTTTAATAAAAGCCACAACCAATGGTGTGAGAAGTAATGTTCTGCCTTTACTTGATAGACTGACTAATTTT